TATAGCTGTAACAATTCCGTGATATTGTAAGAAATTTGCTCTAACACCATATTTTTCTCTTAATTCAAAAAAACTGAAGAAGTTGTTGTTATCCTTTTTTAAGTCATTAACTACTACAACTCCCTTCCTATACCAATCCTTATAAAAAACACTATTATTATCTATTTTGATTTTTTCGTTTAACCATATAGGCATGTCGGAGATCTGTTTTGAATCTGTATATTTTTCCTCAAGAATAGTAAGATTTTTCCATGCAAGAAAGACATCTTTCCAGAAAAGATTTTTACAGTTATTATGACAAAAGGAAATATAGTCTGGTCCACAGTTTACAAGAAGGTTTTTATCAATAGTTGAATTAAAAATAATTTGCCATGTTCCTGTTGTTGAGAGTAATCTTCTAATCCAAGTTAGTTTTAATGAGTCTATAAATGATTTAATATGGATCATTTTGAGACCACCATCAGAATTTTTTTTAATAATTACATCTCTTTTAATTTTATCAATCTTACTATTCCAGAGGAAATTATATATTTCTGTATTTATCTTTTTGACAAATGTATTATCAGGATTTGGTAAAGCGATAAATAAGTGATTAAATTGAGAAATTAGGATAGACTTTATTATATTTATTCTCCCTATTGGTGTTAGTATTCTCCTACTCCAAGTCTTCATCAAAGCTTTAAGTTTTTCCAGTTTTTTTATCAAAATTTATTTTTGGAATACGATGTAGATCAACATGAAAATCAATGCCCAGAAGTGTAAACCTTGTATGTCCCCACTGTAAATTCCATTCATTAGCCATAACCTCATCACTATATTTTTTACTCCCTATCCAAACTACTTCGGTTTTTCCCAAATTCATTTTTAATCCGGATATTTTTCCAAAGTATTTTAATTCTTTTATAGATTCTCTAAGTGATGTTTTTGATCCGTCCAGAATTAAAGATGTGTCGTCTGCATATTGTGAAAGTAAAATAGGTTGTTCAGCTTCAAGTACTTTTAACAAGCCATAACTTTACCAAAAATTACCACAGTTTCAACACTACACAAAAGTTCTAAATCTACGCTTAGGAGCATATAACACAACACACCAGGAACTAAACATGTCCTTAAATGACCTTAGCTGTTGATAGGACGTCAAACCCTTCACAACCAACCCGGCACACTGGAGTGTAGGACTTTAAACACTCTAGACTCACAGCCAACCCGGCACACTGGAGTGTATGACTTTAAACACTCTAGACTCACAGCCAACCCAGCACACTGGAGTGTAGGACTTTAAACACTCTAGACTCACAGCCAACCCGGCACACTGGAGTGTAGGACTAAACACTCTTAACTCTAGACTCACAGCCAACCCGGCACACTGGAGTGTAGGACTTTAAACACTCTAGACTCACAGCCAACTAAAGTCCTGAGACCAAGGTAAACCTACCATGTCATCAAATTTACAGCCGTTCCTGCGGATAAGAGCGATCCAGACTCTGGAGGTGTCATTGTTGGGAATGCGTGGCGTGTAGTCAGAACACGAGGTTTTGTTTACGTCTGGACCTACAGCTATCAAATACCCCTGGAACACAAACATAGAAAATATGTATATACACTTGTAGGTAATTTAATTTTACAATTTCTTTAGCACTGGAAGTGGAAACACAACAATGATTTTGTTTGGCCTTACTCTGGTGTAGAATATAATAAATCTGATTAAGACTTATACTCGCACAAGACATCAGGCCCCGTTTAAAACACAACCATGATTTTGTTTGGCCTTACTCTGGTCGAGAATATGACAGATCTGATTCAGACTTGGGCAAGACATCAGACCCTGTTTAACACACAACAATGATCTTGTTTGGCCTTACTCTGGTGTAGAATATGATAGATCTGATGAAGACTTATACTCGCACAAGACATTAGGCCCCGTTTAAAACACAACAATGATTTTGTTTGGCCTTACTCTGGTGTTGAATATGACACACAGACTCTAGACTTTTATTTGCAGAAGCCATCAACAGGCCCTGTTTAACACACAACAATGATTTTGTTTGGCCTAACTCTAATGCAGAATATGACAGATCTGATTCAGACTTACACTTGCACATGACATCAGGCCTTGTTTAATTCAGCTAAGTGCAACTTACAGGCATGTAGTCATGTACCAACCGCAAGTATATATATATGTCACATTTTTGACAGCTGACACAAACGGTATCAATTATCCTGTCAAACTGGAGTATGTGAGCAAGGCCTGTGTCAGTTACGTAAAATATCTGTGTGTTTGTGTGTGTGTATGTGTGTATGCAGCCGGTTTGTTTAAATAGTTTTCGTGGATGAGTAATCATGTTTGTACAGATACATGTAGTGATATTGTAGCCCAAAGCTTGACAGTGTCACAGTTCACACAGCAGTATTTGGTTTTATAGCATACAAACATGTTAACCTATTAAGCATCAACAGTACAACTTATAGGCACCATACACTTATACAAGCACTTTAAACGACTCAAGTCTATCAAGCTTCAGATTAAGTCTCATAATAAATGAAGTCTAATTTTCATTTTTGTTAATGTCTATAAATGTACTTTTAGGTATATTATCGGAACACTATCATTTTTGTTAATGTCTATAAATGTACTTTTAGGTATATTATCGGAACACTATCATTTTTGTTAATGTCTATAACTGTACTCTTAGGTATATTATCGGAACACTATCATTTTTGATAATGTCTATAAATGTACTTTTAGGTATATTATCGAAACACTATCATTTTTGTTAATGTCTATAAATGTACTTTTATGTTTATTATCAGAACACCATCATTTTGAATCCCTACAGGCCTTGTATATATATATTTTGTTTTCAGACAAGACACCTGGTATAAATCTCACACTTGTATAACCTTAAAAGTGATCTAAAATAAAGCTACAGGCAAAATATCAGTATTTATGATTAAAATTCATTCAAAAGACCCTGTTAAAACATTTCACCCCTGTGATTGAAAGTTGAACAAAGTCATTATGTTAAACACATTTTATAGCCTTCCATCTCAGGATGCAACTTGCAAAGTATCAACATCCTGGGACCCATGGTTATTCAGAAGAGACCGTTTAAAGATTTTAAACAATTTTGACCCCTGTGACCTTGAATATAAGTCAAAGTCATTCACTTTAACAAACATAGTAGTCCTTGATCCCAGCATGCTACTGACTAAATATCAACATCCTGAGCCTTTTGGTTATGCAGAACAAGTCGTTTAAATATTTTTCACATATTTGACCCCTGTGACCTTGAATATATGTGAAGGTCATTCATTTGAACAAACTTGATAGCCCTTTAACCAAGCATGCTACTGGCCAAATATCATCACCCTGGGCATTTTGGTTATTCAGAAGAAGTTGTTTAAAGGTTTTTTTAAGACAATTGACCCCTGTGACCTTGAATATAATTGAAGGTCATTCATTTTAACAAACTTGGTAACCCTTTACCCAAGCATGCTACTGGCCAAATATCATCTCCCTGGGCAGTTTGGTTATCGAGAAGAAGATGTTTAATTTTTTTAACATATTTGACCCCTGTGACCTTGAAAATGGGTGAAGGTCATTAATTTTAACAAACTTTGTAGCCCTTCATCCCAGTTTGCTTCTGACCAAATATCGACACCCTAGGCCTTTTGGTTATTAAGAAGAAGTCGTTTAAAGTAAAATATTGACACCGGACGACGGACAGACGACGCGCCACGGCATAAGCTCACTTGGCACTTCGTGCCAGGTGAGCTAATAATTAGAAGCTACTTGGTAATATAAATTTCCCAACCTCTCTGCTAATCAGGTATTTACAGAATTAATATTTATATTGAAACCTACCATCTGCATACATAGTTTTATTCAGGAATAAAAGTAACAATAAATTATAACCCCTTTCTAAAGACATGGTCCCTAGGATTCACACAAATATACACCACTAAATTACACAACACCCATGTTAATTAATGAATAATTAAGTAAAATTTGTCACTTGCATGACTGATTATCTAATTAAATATGTATGTCTTTAGAACTTTGTCTGTGTACAGCCTCAATTATCATTGATATAATTAGCTTTTCACATATGCTACCAGATCATTATAATCTACAGGAAATATATGATAAATGAATATTTAATAATAAATACTTACCGTAAGGCCTATTTCTGATAGCTCCGGACCAAAGGTAGCCATTCTATCCAGGTAAAATAATATCGACTCATTTCCCTGATTCTGGAACAATGAGAAGCAAGGGGGGGGTGTATGTGCAGCATACCAAAAACGATTATTGTACTACAAGTCAAATTTTAGGTGATCATCGTATGAAGTTGTCAAAATATGTATCATTTTTACAGCTGCAAGTATTAGCAGATTAAGTATAGCTTCCTTATGCATTTGCCCACATATCAGATGTTGAATGAAGACATTAAGAATTGAGAAATCACAATTTCTCTAATGTGCACATAAATAGAGTAAGACTGTCTTAAAATAGCACAACTTTTCACAGACATCAATTTTAATGGTGACAGCTTTCTTTACAGAATTTATGAAAAATTTACATTTTCCTTGTTTGAAAAGTTAATATAACGTTCAAAGATAAATATTTTGTTTTATTTTTCTTGTTCTAAAAATTAATAAATGTTTCAAAGAAAGATGTGTTTCATCAAATATGTAATGGTAATTTACATAACTTGTTCAATTGATGATCCAGACTGCACCATGTGAGTGTGCTGGTACAATGTACATGTATCAGTAAGGATGTATTTCTGTCATCCAAACAATAGCAGATGTCTGTCCTAACCCAACTTCTGTCATTCCCAGTGTAGTACATGTCTGTTACTGTCCTAACCACAGACTCCTGTCATCCTCACAGTAATACATGTCTGTTACTGCCCTAACCACCGACTCCTGTCACCATCACAGTAATACATGTCTGTTACTGCCCTAACCACCGACTCCTGTCACCATCACAGTAATACATGTCTGTTACTGCCCTAACCACCGACTCCTGTCACCATCACAGTAATACATGTCTGTTACTGCCCTAACCACAGACTCCTGTCACCCTCATAGTAAAACATGTCTGTTACTGTCCTAACCACTGAATTCTGTCACCCTAACAGTAATAATACATGTATGTTACATGTCTGTTACTGTCCTAACCACAGCCTCCTGTCACCCCCACCGTAATACATGTCTGTTACTGTCCTACCTACAGCCTCCTGTCACCCTCACAGTAATACATCCTGTCACCTTCACAGTAATACATGTCTGTTACTGTGCTAACCACAGACTCCTGTCACCCTCGCAGTAATACATGTCTGTTACTGTCCAAACCCCCGACTCCTGTCACCTTCACAGTAATACATGTCTGTTACTGTCCAAACCACCGACTCCTGTCACCTTCACAGTAATACATGTCTGTTACTGACCTAACCACTGAATCCTGTCACCCTCACAGTAATAATACAATGTGAGTGTGCTGGTACAATGTACATGTATCAGTAAGGGTGTATTTCTGTCATCCAAACAATAGCAGATGTCTGTCCTCACCCAACTTCTGTCATTCCCAGTGTAGTACACGTCTGTTACTGTCCTAACCACAGACTCCTGACACCCCCACAGTAATACATGTCTGTTACTGTTCCTGTCACCCCCACAATAACAATCCATGTCTGTTACTGTCCTAACAACAGACTCCTGTCACCCTCACAGTGAAACATGTCTGTTACTGTCCTAACCACTGAATCCTGTCACCCTAACAGTCATAATACATGTATGTTACTGTCCTAACCACAGACTCCTCTCACCCCCACAGTAATACATGTCTGTTACTGTGCTAACCACAGACTCCTGTCACCCCCACAGTAAGACATGTCTGTTACTGTCCTAACCACAGAATCCTGTCACCCCAAACAGTTATACATGTATGTTACTGTCCTAACCACAGACTCCTCTCACCCCCACAGTAATACATGTCTGTTACTGTGCTAACCACAGACTCCTGTCACCCTAACTGTAATACATGTCTGTTACTGTCCTAACTACGGACTTTCAATTGATGAGCCAGACTGCACCATGTGAGTGTGCTGGTACAATGTACATGTATCAGTAAGGATTTATTTCTGTCATCCAAACAATAGCAGATGTCTGTCCTCACCCAACTTCTGTCATTCCCAGTGTAGTACACGTCTGTTACTGTCCTAACCACAGACTCCTGACACCCCCACAGTAATACATGTCTGTTACTGTGCTAACCACAGACTCCTGTCACCCCCACCGTAATACATGTCTGTTACTGTCCTAACTACAGACTCCTGTCACCCCCACAGTAATACATGTATGTTACTGTCCTAACCACAGACTCCTTTCACCCTCATAGTAATACATGTCTGTTACTGTCCTATCCACAGACTCCTGTCATCCTCACAGTAATACATGTCTGTTACTGCCCTAACCACAGACTCCTGTCACCCTCACTGTAATAAATGTCTGTTACTGTCCTAACCACAGAATCCTGTCACCCCAAACAGTTATACATGTATGTTACTGTCCTAACCACAGACTCCTATCATCCTCACAGTAATACATGTCTGTTAATATCCTAACCACAGACTCCTGTCACCCTCGCAGTAATACATGTCTGTTACTGTCCAAACCACCGACTCCTGTCACCTTCACAGTAATACATGTCTGTTACTGACCTAACCACTGAATCCTGTCACCCTCACAGTAATAATACAATGTGAGTGTGCTGGTACAATGTACATGTATCAGTAAGGGTGTATTTCTGTCATCCAAACAATAGCAGATGTCTGTCCTAACCCAACTTCTGTCATTCCCAGTGTAGTACATGTCTGTTACTGTCCTAACCCAACTTCTGTCATTCCCAGTGTCGTACATGTCTGTTACTGTCCTAACCACTGAATCCTGTCACCCTAACAGTAATAATACATGTATGTTACTGTCCTAACCACAGACTCCTGTCACCCTCACAGTTATACATGTCTTTTACTGTCCTAACTACAGACTCCTTTCACCCTCACAGTAATACATGTCTGTTAATATCCTAAGCACAGACTCCTGTCACCCTCACAGTGAAACATGTCTGTTACTGTCCTAACCACCGACTCCTGTCACCCTCACAGTAATACACGTCTGTTACTGTCCTAACCACAGGCTCCTGTCACCCTCATAGTAATACATGTCTGTTACTGTCCGAACCACAGACTCCTGTCACCCTCATAGTAATACATGTCTTTTATTGTCCTTACCACAGACTCCTGTCACCATCACAGTAATACATGTCTGTTACTGGCCTAACTACAGACTCCTGTCACCCTCATAGTAATAGCTGTCTGTTACTGTCCTAACCACAGACCCCTGTCACCCTCACAGTACTACATGTCTGTTACTGTGCTAACCACAGACTCCTGTCACCCCCACAGTAATACATGTCTGTTACTGTGCTAACCACAGACTCCTGTCACCGTCACTGTAATACATGTCTGTTCCTGTCCTAACTACAGACTCCTGTCACCCTCATAGTAATAAATGTCTGTTACTGTCCTAACTACAGACTTCTGTCCCCCTCACAGTAATACATGTCTGTTAATATCCTAAGCACAGACTCCTGTCACCCTCACAGTAATCCATGTCTGTTACTGTCCTAACCACAGCTCACAGTGATACAAGTCTGTTACTGTCCTAACCACTGAATCCTGTCACCCTACCAGTAATAATACATGTATGTTACTGTCCTAACCACCGACTCCTGTCACCCTCACAGTAATACACGTCTGTTACTGTCCTAACCACAGGCTCCTGTCACCCTCACAGTAATACACGTCTGTTACTGTCCTAACCACAGGCTCCTGTCACCCTCATAGTAATACATGTCTGCTACTGTCCTAGCCACAGACTCCTGTGACCCTCACTGTAATACATGTCTGTTTCTGTCCTAACCACAGACTCCTGTCGCCCTCACAGTAATACATGTCTGTTAATGTCTCAACCACAGACTCCTGTCACCCTCACAATAATACATGTCTGTGACTGTCCTAACCACAGTCTCCTGTCACCCTCATAGTAATACATGTCTTTTATTGTCCTTACCACAGACTCCTGTCACCCTCACAATAATACATGTCTGTGACTGTCCTAACCACAGTCTCCTGTCACCCTCATAGTAATACATGTCTTTTACTGTCCTAACCACAGACTCCTGTCGCCCTCACAGTAATACATGTCTGTTAATATCCTAACCACAGACTCCTGTCACCCTCATAGTAATAGCTGTCTGTTACTGTCCTAACCACAGACTGCTACCACCCTCACAGTAATACATGTCTGTTGCTGTCCTCACCACAGACTCCTGTCACCCTCACATTAATACATGGCTGTTACTGTCCTAACTACAGACTCCTGTCCCCCTCACAGTAATACATGTCTGTTAATGTCTCAACCACAGACTCCTGTCACCCTCATAGTAATAAATGTCTGTTACTGTCCTAACCACAGGCTCCTGTCACCCTCATAGTAATACATGTCTTTTATTGTCCTTACCACAGACTCCTGTCACCCTCACAATAATACATGTCTGTGACTGTCCTAACCACAGTCTCCTGTCACCCTCATAGTAATACATGTCTGCTACTGTCCTAACCACAGACTCCTGTCGCCCTCACAGTAATACATGTCTGTTAATGTCTCAACCACAGACTCCTGTCACCCTCATAGTAATAGCTGTCTGTTACTGTCCTAACCACAGACTCCCGTCACCCTCACAGTAATACATGTCTTTTACTGTCCTTACCACAGACTCCTGTCCCCCTCACAGTAATACATGTCTGTTAATGTCTCAACCACAGACTCCTGTCACCCTCACAATAATACATGTCTGTGACTGTCCTAACCACAGTCTCCTGTCACCCTCATAGTAATACATGTCAGTGACTGTCCTAACCACAGACTCCTTTCGCCCTCACAGGGATACATAGTAATACATGTCTGTTACTGTCCGAACCACAGACTCCTGTCACCCTCATAGTGATACATGACGGTTACTGTCCTAACCACAGACTCCTTTCGCCCTCACAGGGATACATGTCTGTTACTGTCCTATGTCTGTTACTGTCCTAACCACAGCTCACAGTAATACATGTCTGTTACTGTCGTAGCCACAGACTCCTGTCACCCTCACTGTAATAAATGTCTGTTACTGTCCTAACCACAGCTCACAGTGATACAAGTCTGTTACTGTCCTAACCACTGAATCCTGGCACTCTAACAGTAATAATACATGTATGTTACTGTCCTAACCCCAGACTCCTGTCACCCTCACAGTAATACATGCCTGTTACTGTCCTAGCCACAGACTCCTGTGACCCTCACTGTAATACATGTCTGTTTCTGTCCTAACCACAGACTCCTGTCGCCCTCACAGTAATACATGTCTGTTAATGTCTCAACCACAGACTCCTGTCACCCTCACCGTAATACATGTCTGTTACTGTCCTAGACACAGACTCCTGTCACCCTCACTGTAACACATGTCTGTTACTGTCCTAACTACAGACTCCTGTCACCTCCACAGTACTACATGTCTGTTAGTGTCCTAACCACAGACTCCTGTCACCTAACAGTAATAATACATGTATGTTACATGTCTGTTACTGTCCTAACCACAGACTCCTTTCGCCCTCACAGGGATACATGTCTGTTACTGTCCTAACCACAGACTGCTACATGTTTTTAACTGTCCAGTAAAGAAACTTAAATGTCAAATTTAATTGTAAAGTCTAACTACATAGCTGTTCAAGTAACTGTGTCATGATAACCAGAACCTTGTGACATTGTGTCACAACGTCAAGACTTTCCCTACAGGCAAAACATGTATGCAGTCATGATCATGTGATTTTGTGTCACCTGCCTGAATTTTTTGTTTTATGCAAAACATTCACTGACAAGTATATGATTTTAAAGACACAAAATCAAACAACGCATGCAACTCACACATTACACTATATATACCCTTGTATCCAAATCAAATGGGTTCAATTTATTTGAGTACATGCATATGTACTATTACCAAATACAGAATTATCAAAATAATTCAAAAGTGGTTTCCTGATGACCAAAAAAACACCAAATGTATCTTGAGGCTTCGTCTGATGTCCGTTGTCACAAACAATTCATCAAAGAGAAACGTTGTACTTACCACTTTAACATCGCCACAGACAAATACGTTGAAAAATGACAGAATGTTGAACATAGCAAAGATGTGAAGCCATCTCGGCCTGTTACTGGAGATCTCGGTAAAGGGAGACATACCTGTAACACACGATTAAACCCTAGGGTTAACAACAGTTCTTCTTACAAACACTGTATCTGTCCTGTAATAAGACCAGTATGGGACCAACATGTACCTGTAACACATGATTAAAACCTAGGGTTAACAACCAGTTCTTCTTACAAACACTGTATCTTTCTTGTAATAAGCCCATGGGACCAACATGTACCTGTAACACATGATTAAAACCTAGGGTTAACAACCAGTTCTTCTTACAAACACTGTATCTTTCTTGTAATAAGCCCATGCGACCAACATGTACCTGTAACACATGATTAAAACATAGGGTTAACAACAGTTCTTCTTACAAACACTGTATCTTTCTTGTAATAAGCCCATGGGACCAACATGTACGTGTAACACATGATTAAAACCTAGGGTTAACAACCAGTTCTTCTTACAAACACTGTATCTTTCTTGTAATAAGCCCATGGGACCAACATGTACGTGTAACACATGATTAAAACCTAGGGTTAACAACCAGTTCTTCTTACAAACACTGTATCTTTCTTGTAATAAGCCCATGGGACCAACATGTACGTGTAACACATGATTAAAACCTAGGGTTAACAACCAGTTCTTCTTACAAACACTGTATCTTTCTTGTAATAAGCCCATGGGACCAACATGTACGTGTAACACATGATTAAAACCTAGGGTTAACAACCAGTTCTTCTTACAAACACTGTATCTTTCTTGTAATAAGCCCATGGGACCAACATGTACGTGTAACACATGATTAAAACCTAGGGTTAACAACCAGTTCTTCTTACAAACACTGTATCTTTCTTGTAATAAGCCCATGGGACCAACATGTACCTGTAACACACAATTAAAACCTAGGGTTAACAACAGTTCTTCTTATAAACACTGTATCTGTCCTGTAATAAGACCAGTATGGGACAGACATGTACCTGTAACACACGATTAAAACCTAGGGTTAACAACAGTGCTTCTTACAAACACTGTATCTGTCCTGTAATAAGCCTAGCATGGGACCAACATGTACCTGTAACACACGATTAAAACCTAGTGTTAACAACAGTTCTTCTTACAAACACTGTATCTGTACATGTCCTGTAATAAGCCCATGGGACCAACATGTACCTGTAACACACAATTAAAACCTAGGGTTAACAACAGTTCTTCTTATAAACACTGTATCTGTCCTGTAATAAGACCAGTATGGGACAGACATGTACCTGTAACACACGATTAAAACCTAGGGTTAACAACAGTGCTTCTTACAAACACTGTATCTGTCCTGTAATAAGCCTAGCATGGGACCAACATGTACCTGTAACACACGATTAAAACCTAGGGTTTACAACAGTTCTTCTTACAAACACTGTATCTGTCCTGTAATAAGCCTAGCATGGGACCAACATGTACCTGTAACACACGATTAAAACCTAGGGTTTACAACAGTTCTTCTTACAAACACTGTATCTGTCCTGTAATAAGCCTAGTATGGGACCAACATGTACCTGTAAGACACGATTAAAACCTAGAGTTAACAACAGTTCTTCTTACAAACACTGTATCTTTCTTGTAATAAGCCCATGGGACCAACATGTACGTGTAACACATGATTAAAACCTAGGGTTAACAACCAGTTCTTCTTACAAACACTGTATCTTTCTTGTAATAAGCCCATGGGACCAACATGTACCTGTAACTCATGATTAAAACCTAGGGTTAACAACAGTTCTTCTTACAAACACTGTATCTTTCTTGTAATAAGCCCATGGGACCAACATGTACCTGTAACACATGATTAAAACCTAGGGTTAACAACAGTTCTTCTTACAAACACTGTATCTGTCCTGTAATAAGACTATGGGACCAACACATACCTATATAACACGATTAAAACCTAGGGTTAACAACAGTTCTTCTTACAAACACTGTATCTGTCCTGTAATAAGCCCATGGGGCTAACACATAATCTCCGACTTAACAAAGGCGTGAGTGTGCTTATTACAAAAATTTAATATGTTGGCATTAATTATCTAAACTGAACCAGAGTATATTTCTTACCAGGCAATGGCTTATTGCCTGATAAATATGAAGGACTGTGAAAACGAATGCTGCCGACTTGTTGGACCGATGCATATGTTGGGCTGCAACGATATATTGTATCGTATTGAATCACGATACTTTCTTGTGTATCGTAGCAAACTGTTTTGTTTGCTTGTATCGAGATACAGCAACAGTACTTAAATTATCAATCAATATTTATAAAACTCTAAAAAAGTACATTACAGACGTCATACCCAGAAGTACTAGAAATTATACAAAAATATATTTCGATAGTATATATACAGTTGAAGTCTATGACGATACTGGATAAAATCCTGCACTCATGATCAATCATTATGAAGTTGACCTTTAAGCAAATAACAAATTGTATTGTAATATCTATCATATTGTAAGCATAGAACTGTGATATGTATCTCATCGTGAGGTATGTGTATCGGTGCAGCTCTAGTATAAAGACCGTGAAACAACTGATCAATAAACAAAGTACAATGTCATTCTAAATCTATCTTTCACATAGTAAGCAATTCCTATCTGAAAGATTGTAAGCTTAAGTCATTCTATGAAAAAATTAATGAATTTTCAAAATCATTGAGAGTCGAATAAAGAACATGCGAGTATTTGACTCATGACTCGCAGGTTAACAAGAGGCCCAAAAGGCCTGTATCACTAACCAGGATATTTCAGCAATTACGGCAAATTATTCTCACTAAGTAGTATTTGGACCCAAGAATGCTGTAACGTTGGACGACCGGTCGGTAGCTGAGAGAATACAGAATGATTTGTTATACAATATCTACAAGTTTATTTACAATAATTATTGAAGAAAACCCCCATAAGTATGTACTCACACTCACAACCACACATTCATACATTCAACACTAAATGTCATTACTCCGGTTGGTGGAGTCACAGTTGCCGCTTGTATACCACTAGTTCCACTGTCCATGTTGGCAATACACAATACAATATGGAAAGGATCCGGTGGACTAAACAAGTCTCACAAACTTGTGTTCCGCTTCACCATATATTCCACGTCCGCCAATCATGGATATATACCCCACCACAGAAGGGTTTAGCACCGATGTGCTGAGAACGGTCTAGCACCAATGTGCTATAATGCAGGCCTCCGGCTCCGCAGATGACCTGAGGACTGCTCCCTCACTGACGAATGATGTCAGTACAACTATGAGTTGTCTGCCCTTGCAGAACTGACACACTGTGTGTAGCACTAGTTGTCTGCCCTTGTGGAACTGACCCAATGTGTGTAGCGCCAGTTGTCTCGTCCACATTCCTCTCACCTACCAACCCGTTCATGGAAATCACATCTCAGGTGTTATGTGTCTGAAGTCCGGGTGGTTTTTTATGGCACGTTGACATGCACGTCCATCTTGGACAGATCGGCTCTCGTGCAGTCCCTTTACCACTCTCGGACGCTCTCGCAAACACATACTCACCTCGAAGCGGGAATATTTAAAAACCGAGATTCAAACAAATAAGTATAAAACAATTTACATTATCAATACTAGCATAAATATATATATACAACATTCCTCATCCAATATGCGATCGTGACAAATGCTTCATATTAAATCCGGTTGAGATCAGTAGGTGTGTGTATCTGGTTATAGGGTTTGATCTTAATAATTTCAATGTAATGACCAGAAAGGAAATCCCCAGGGGCAGGTCTAGATCCCACAGCTAATCCTGGCAGCATTCTTGTGGTGTGTTTTTTCATGCCAATCAAGCATATATATATATATACATAGAAAAAATAAGATGTAACGACCAACTTAAAAACTAGCTGCTTTCACCCTTCACAAGGCTCTTCAGGTTTCTCTATCTATAACAACAAGAGGCCCAAGGGCTTTAGCGGTCACCTGAGTTATATCATATACACAGCAGTTAGAAGAGGATTGAAAAGTTATTGACTATATTTTTGGTCAGTGAGATATCAAGTTCTATCATCTTGAAAATATCACTTTTGGAATCGACTAATCAGAACAATACTTTCTATTCACTTCATTCAAAGCTGCTAGTCTTCTTTCATACACAGATGAAATGACAATCCAAGAAGTTGGTACAAAGATATTGATATACATACACAATTTATACCATTTTTGCAAGAAAATCTTACCAAACAATACCAGAAAATCAAAGAATTGAATAGCCCTTTTCGTCATTGAAGCTAGATTTGAAATGTTATAAATAGATAAGAGGCCCAAGGGCCTTAGCGGTCACCTGAGTTATATCATAGGTACTGGTAGCTTTATTTTATTGTTTAGATGTGATGTGGAAATCAGCATGTAAAAACTAAGTGAATTTATACAATACTTGTCATGTCATTAAAGGATAAGAATTTGAAAATATTGGTAAATGTTCCCTTTGGGGTCCCGCCCTGGCCCCTGGGGATGGGACAGGAATCCCAATTTTACAAAGTAATACTCTCATTCACTAAAGATGATTCTGACTAAGTTTGAGTAATTTTCTGCTGAAAATGGATAAAATATACCCAAAATTTATAGATTATTATCAGACCACCACTACACAATATGTGCGAGGTGATCTCAAATGAGCTGAAACTCAAATATGCAAATCTGTTTTCGCCCACTTTGATATTGTTATTGACCAAACCTAGATCTATTGCCATCATTTTGTCGCTAATTTCCAGTGACTCCATACTGGAAACAACATTACCTGCTTAATTATGCAACTGCTACTGTACAGTACAGTAATTATTGTCATTATGTCAACACGTTCACAAAATTCTCATCCATAGGATGCGAGACAACTGCACAATTATGACTATCAATATGCATTTTTCTGTTTCATACCGACATTCTCAGCCTATTAAATATATGCATTTGAAAAACACATAACTTTTACATTTTCCATCATAAACGGAGCAGGAACAAAACGTAAACAAACATCTGACAGTTCTAAACGAAAACAATCACTGCTTTTAGAATCAGTCACTTTGTTTTAGATACGGAATTGACAGTAATTACAAATAGTGTAATTTCTTAGTGAAATACATACCTTCACATGGCTCTACATATGTTAGTTGACATGAAAACGATATTAGCCTGTAGATTATTGACTCATTTGGGAGTCAGTGCGACTGAAAATGGCGTCTGTTCATGTGACCTTCCGGAAAAACACGGAAGTTGACGAGAGAATCTTAGGTATCACACTAGTATTACTGTAACGTGGATATATATGTCACTAGTGATTGACTGTTTAATATAAACGGTCGCTTGAGGCGTAGTTGGAACGGTAACGAAGCCATGTAACAGATGATTGTAATCAAATTGGATCTTTATGTTGATGAACATTGATTAGAACAGATTTTATTTAACTGGAGCGGGACATCCTCGATACTCCAGGGGTTACGCTCACTTTCACGTAGGGCAACAAGACGCCTACCATTCCTAAAAGGAAAATCAACCCGTGAGAGACTTTGTATGTTGGGCCTCCCCAGTCTAGAGTACCGACGATTGAGAGGAGATGTCATACAAATTTTCAAAATCAAGTACAAAATTATTAAAATGGCAACATTGGCTACAACAAGAGGAAACTCCAAAAAACTCTTCAAGAGAAGGACGAGGCTCAATGTAACGAGGAACATGTACAGCAGTAGGGTCGTGGACGTGTGGAACTCTCTACCAAATATAGTTGTAGAGGCCCCCTCCTTAAATAGTTTTAAACTCCGGTTAAACTATCACTGGCGTCATCATCCCCAAAAAGTTGTACCAACCTGTTACCCACAACCGAACGTGATTAGAGAACAGTATATAGATGCGTCTCAAGAAGCTGGATCAGCTTACGTCGACGTCGACACTACATGAAAACTACATGAAAACTTTCTTTCTATACGTCTATGTTCTCTTTATGGATATAGTTTTTACATCATTATGGTCTTTAACAGGAACAAGTATAGTTTGTTTGTCCACTGCATCGTCGAAACTCCAGGGGTTACACACTCACTCTCTGTCTGCACCTCTGGAATATGCCATAGCCGGCAAAATCGAAGGCTCAGTGTGTGCCGCCTTGTGGGTGAGACATGAAAACTAGTTTGATCCTTTGATGTATTTACATCAATAGAATCTCGTGGTCGCGTAACGGTAAAATTGACTGGCTTTGAAGTCGCTCCTCTGTAATGTCAAAGGGCATTTATCAGCCAAGCGATTGATCAGGTTGTTTTACATGAGAACAATAAAATATCTAGCCGTGTACCTTTCACCGAGGCGACCGGGGTTCGATTCCCAATCGGACGTGAAAAGGTATGGGGNTACAAACTAGAATCTATATGGTATAGGGTGTAACACCCTCTGGTATGGAGGTTAGGGGTCAATTAGTTTGCCTCTGCCAGTCTGATAGTGTATTTGCATTTGTAGCGAGAATGATAACTGACTTTATTGACTTATGATACTGAAGAGTTCCATGGTGTGACTAAGGGTACATTTGCGAATCCAGTTGAAACGGTTGAACCGGTTGAACCTGTAAAGAAAACGACAGGTACATATTCGGACCGAGGCTGACCTCAGGAAAATTGCCAATTTGCGTTATTTCTTTCTTAAACAATGTCAAGTCACATGTAATTTTTAAGATACGTTATGTAATGGACGCGTGAGAGAAGGATATAATATTCTTGATACATTGTTTTTTATTCTCAGGAACTGTGGATTTTTAGCTCTGCTTATAGAACGGTCCAAGTGTGTTCGTTTATCGTGGAATATTTCTGCGCCACACGTACCGTTTCAACCGGGATACGCGAATGTAGCCTAATGTACACGGACGGATACGGATATCCGGAATTATCTAATAATGTCTAATTATTCTGAACAATGTGTATCGTAAGCCGGTCAAAACGCACGTGCAGGGCCCTGTAATGCGTCTTTGCGACGGCCAGTCGGCCAGGCCATTCTGTGTCACTTATTTTATTTTTCAATGATAGAAGTCATGTTTGAGGCAGGCTGCTGCTGCTGCTGTTACTTTGACAGAGGCAGATCTAGATGCCCCTTCTACTTCTTTAGATTACGGAGGCTCCGTCAATTGTGACGTTTATGCCCTCGGGGGGTCCTATTGCAGAGGCGTGAAAAAGGGGTTATTTACAGTGATTTGTTGGGGTGTTTTTTTTTTAATTTTTTGTGCAAGGTATAGATAAAAGATAAAAACTGGGGTATGTTTTAGAGTGTGATGAGGGCTTCAAGGGCTGCATAGGGTAATTGTGCCTTGAAGTCCTCTAGTGTTGTGCTTTGTACTGCTGCTATGGGTAGGAGATTCCATTGTGTTATTGTGTGAGGAAAGAATGAATATTTGTAGGTGTCCTTTCAGGCTTTGTAGCAGATATGTGTTTGAATGCGTGAGGGTGTGGATGTCTGGTTCGATGGTCTACCGATGTGAGTATATGTGTTGGGTTTATGGCTATACTGTTTGGTGTATAATTTTGTGAAAAAGGATAATTCTCGTGTGACAGCGCCGTGTTTGTAGTGTTGGCCATCACTTTGGTTTTCTCCAGGTACTCCGGTTTCCTCCCATATTAAGCCCCCCCCCCCCCCTAAAGTTAAAAGAACTTGTTTCATAATTGATGTAAAATAAATAAAGTTTATATTTATATATCAATAGTCAGAAATATGATAATGATAATCAATTTTGGCTTACGAGAGACTATATATAGTCATTAAAATACGCTTATAGCATTTAGATGTACATAAAGTAAGACCATGATCATTGTATTCAGTATAAAAAGAAGTTTCGTATGATAATTGCCAATCTGATTAAAACCATATCTTTAATTCCACTCCAATACTCTACGTTCGTTTGACTGGAACTTATATATGATCTTCTTTTAAAAAATATTTGCTCTTAACAGGAACAATTTAGTGAATTAAGCTTTTATCATAATCTTATCACAAAATTCTTCATGAACGAGAAATTGACAAGACACGGTGTTTTCTTTTGGTTCTTTATATGTAATGAAGAAATCCTTAACTGTATAACAACCACACGTTTTAGCGGCAGCTGTCTGTGAATTTCTAACTTACAAATATGTCTTTCCACCCGAAGATAATAGGTGAGTTCTCGCTTAATTCAGCTTCCTTCTTTTGAATACAAGTACTAGTATTAAGTCTGAAAATCACGGCACAGATCACGGAAAAAAAATAAAAGCCTCTCTCGAAATTCATTTATATGGGGCTATAGAGGTTTCGGGGCGAACTGATTTTTTCGGGGTTATTTAATAAAGGTCTTTTCGGGCGAAATGGTTGTATTTGGGAGATGTGAATCAAAATTGGGGCCTTACTGTTTTGGAGCGAATCGTCTGATACCCCCTAGACCCCAGTTTTAAATCAATGATTCCCAAAGAAGGACAAACATTCTAAATTCACTTAGGCCAGGCTACAGCTATGTTTAAAGATTTGTGGTATAAACTAGATATTTCAAATATAATTGACTCACTAAACCTCAAAATCTGTATGGATCATAACAAATTATAACTTTGACAGCTCTTTGGTAACATAATGTGTATGTATTTTCTAATGATTCTGTAAAATATGACATTTTACAAAATCCTTCAGTATTCTTACTGAACCTTGTCAACCTAACACAGCATTCCCTCGTTCATGAAGACTAAGAAACCCATTCAGTTTTCCATTTATTTTACGGCAAAACTGTAAAGGTTTGAAAGGAAAAAATGTTCGATATCAAATTACCGTTTTAAGAGACTGAAATAATTGGTATAGTATTTTTTAAATGAAAATAAACGTAAATCTTTTATGATTACCAAAATAAGTTATTCGAGGTGTGTTTTTCATAAACCAGAGACGTATTTTAAAAACCAATATGTCTTGACAAACTATAAAAAATACGAACATATCCTTTTCAGTATTAGAATGTATGAACACACAGAGATATATTTATTTATTTATTATATATCGTATTGTATGTTTTGAATTGGTATAGGTTTCTGCTGTATATATATAAAAAAAGACGATATGTTAAATATTCAATTGAAAATATTAAGAAACAAATAAAAAAAAACATGATTCGGTAAAATCTAGATTGTTATATCTACCAACACTAGCCCGCAAAATTCAATACACATACAAGCAAACATCGGATCTATTTTGTTGTGATCATGTACTTAAATGCTATATTTTGTAATCTTCAATAGGTACAGTAGAAAATTTCATAATTATTTCATTATCATTACCTGTATACTGTAATAGGCTATTGCGAAATTATAACAACTCAAGCGTGGCACTACGTCATGGTTGTCACGTGATCAACTATCAAAAAGGTCGAGTCGATGACGACATCCGGGCAATTTATCGCTTCTCTCTGACCAAGATGGCGTCTTCAGCAAGCACAGGTGTAACGGCGGCTTCTGTCGGCCCCCAAAACCAGACAATTGGACAGAAATTCAGAGATTTTGGCACGTTTATGTACAACAGTGAGGAGCACACGGTGCTTGGAAGAACAGCCAAAAGTTGGGGTAAGTTAAAAGAATAAACGCAATGCATTTCTAACAAACTCTGTTGACTTTTACATTTTGCATGCTGTCTTGGCTGTAGCTGAATTCTTCCCTATTATACCAGTCTTGTTTTGCAAAATATTATGTTAAACATTAACTGTATGTTCATCAATTACCATATTTGATATATTTGTTGGAAAAACGGTATTTTCCCCAATTATAATCGTTCGTATATGATTTGATAGTGGATGACCTCTGCAAGTTCGTCCTAGCCGGGCGGGGTTCCCAAGGGTGAATCGAAATATAGCGTCACTTACTGCTTTAGATAGCACCGAAAGAATAAAAAAAAAACATGTAAAACATGTTCAATGCATTTTAAAATATATTTGTTCAATGTTAAAATGTATATATATTTTTATTTGCAATTTATATATTAATTAAAACAAGCATGAATCTGTAGGTCATTTGGAGAGCGTCACTTTCTTGATAGGTGACTTGTGGCCTCCGGCAAGGCTCGGCTTACCTGTCCTGCCATATAACACTTTGTCAAAGATGTATATTACTGGGATTGTTCGACAGACCTCTTGGCACTTGAATATTTATGCACTTAGAGTCACCTTGAAAGGATAAACTCTCATTGTTTTACTGTGGACGCACTTACTCCACGTGATAGCTGTAACTGAGAATAAATTTATGCATCTACATGGTGAAGGATGTCTGCACATTGGCTTTTGTGTTATGTTACTGTTGAAGGATAACTTTTGATTGTTTAATAATTATATAACTATGATATGGAGAGGAAAGGAATTTTGACGTAATAATTTTTTACCATTTTTACTTTTAACATAGCAAAAATTGATGAATCAAGTTTGCTGATTAAACAGATGAAATTGTATAAAGATGCACATTTGATTTGCATACTGTAACAAACTTAAAAGGGAGGCATACAGCCTCTGCCCCTGCATCAAATTTTCAACACAGAAATTCTTCAAATCTAAGTTGAATGGGTTCTATTCCCAAAACTCTGGAATATTCTGTTTGCTTTTAAAATCAGAAATTTCATGGAATGAAAAAAAGGCTTATATTTTTTTCATATATTTAGCAGTTGATTGCATTGTGGTCTTGATTCAAAGAAATTAGGTACAAACATTAAAAAATAAAATGGGATGTATAATTATACAATTGGTCATCCGTAGCCAAGGGAATCTTTTGTAGTGCTAAACTCCTAGGCAGTTATTGCACAATTGTGATAAATGTCAAGCCAGTCCAGGTCCTCTGGTGGAAACTTTTTGTAACATTACGTAATAGTCTGTGTTGTCAGTTTTCTGTATTGTTATTGCCTGTTCCCTGGGGCTGTGAGCAATCCTGTTATGTTTAGTCAAGTCTTACAAATACCAACACAAAGTCAACAGTAGGGACATTTGTGTAGACTAGAGTGTTGTTGGATTACTTAATAAATCCTAGAATAAGTTCACCATTAGCCCTTTCACCCCTATGTAACTTGAGTAGACTATACCATGCATTGACAAGGATGAGTCCATTATGGTCTACAGTGGTGAAAGGGTTAAAGTATTTTATTTCATTCATGTCCATGACATGGGTTTGTGGAATACCCTGGTACTGTGCTTAAAGAAAAAAACATCTGTTTTGAATACTGAAAAAATGTATGAATTATGTTATCTTAAAAAGCAAGAGTCTTATCATGGGCTTCAGGTGTTGCATATTTAATAAATCAAAATAAATGAAAAAGAACATACTATATTTTATGCGAGTTCTTTTTAATCTTTTTTACCATTCTATGTGGTACACATGTGTAGTTGTAATAGACACTTTCTTGGTAAACAGATTTTACACCTGATAGTTTTAAGGTTCCCTATTTCAGAAGGGGGATGGGCTAATTATTGCAATTTTCCAAGCCAGATATTATAATTGACACAAAAACGTTACTTTATCCCACTAAAAAGAATTCAGAATTTATTTCAAGAAAACTTCAACATAACAATAAAAAGAGATAAGTAGACATTGATATAAATTCAGACTACTACTTGAGTAATGAGGTCATAGACCTCGCATGACAGCAACAGACAATCCTTACATTTTCCTGCAACCATAAAACATCCAATGAGGGTAGCTGTAACAGACTAGACACAACAAATTACAAAAGTATCATCGACAAACCGTGCACAAATTATCATTGATGGTGATTTTAACACTCTTCAATGGGGCCATTGGGGAAAATTTAAAACCACATGCATGGCAAGTCAGACCATGATTGTGTATTGTAGAATTCAATTTATGTCTACAGAATTGTACCTTGCAATACAAACTTCATACTTTGGAAAAAGGTCAGAAACCCAACATACCACAATCATCTCGGTTGTGAATCAGCTGTACTATGTGGGGCCTTTCCAAATCTGTACTAAACAATCTGGTCAAGGACAATATACCTCATCAGGTCATCACCAAACACATCCCAAAAATTCTGAGGTAACTCAACACATAAGGAAAATAGCAGCCTTTATACAGAATTAAAAACTGCAAAAATAATATAGCCTTACATAATAAATTGGAAAAAGGGCTTCTCCTATAAAATAACATGAACAATTATCAGTATACTATAAAGAACAAAACCAGATGTCTAAGGTTTGCAACCTTCACCACCACCCCCTCCCCCATGTGTGTACAGTATATAATTAGTCTCTTGTAAAGAGTTGTCCATTGTGAAGGGAATTGTAATCAATGTAATGTAATTGTTGCTTTGTGTGTTAATGTTGTTGTTTTATAAAAAAAAAATGTTGTTTAAAATAAACCAATTTTTTAAAAGATCACAAGTAATCTAACCCTGGCCTCATTGGTGAATGGAAGAGCATTATTTACTGCAAATCCAGGCCACCCCCATATAATATGTAATATTTGGATATAGATATATATTGTTTCTGAAAATCGATTAATAGATCCTTGTTTTCCATGATCGATTATAGTTTGACTTATTTAAGTATCATCAACAAATAAACTTGGAGAGTTACTGTTATAAACTTGACCTAACGTTCCACACAACGACGACGCTGATCGGCTAGCTGGTCCACCCGACAACCAACAGAACTTGCATTTCAATAGAAATCAGTGATTTTTCAGCCTATATACATGGGGTCGGTTACCGATCCCATTCTCAGTGAGATTTTATAAAAAATAATTCCCATTTGCCAGGGGTCGACACTTACTAGTCTGGGACCAGTAGATTTCTGCAAGGACTAGTGAATCACCTTACCTAACTGGTCCTTTGGACCTGTGAAAAATATGATTATAAAATAAGAATACTCCTTGTCCAAAATTTCCTAAAACTTCACCATTTTTAGGTCACCTGAGCCAGGTGACCTATTCCAATCGCTTGTCGTAAACTTTTACATTATCAACTTCTTCTCAAGAACCAGTGGATGGAATTTTTTCAAACTTAGTCAGAATCATCCTTGGTAGATGAGGCTACCAAATTGTAAAATTGGGATTCCTACCCCAACCCTAGGGGCCAGGGCGTGGCCCAAAAGGGAAAATTAACCAATATTTCAAAAATCTTCTTCTCCAGACTCAGAGGTATTACAGTTATTTTCTCTGCATGGATGGAAAGATCATCAGGGGCTTTATTTAAATTGTAAATTTCAGGACCCCAAAACTATCCGTTCTCCCTTGGGGAGGGGGTAAAGTTTACTATGGTTTATATAGGGAAACAACACTTTTGGGTATATTTTGACAATTTTCTGTTGGAAATTATTTTTATTTGGTCAGAATCATCCTTGGAGGAGGAAGATGGTTTTAAATTGTAAAATTGGGATTCCTACCCCAACCCTAAGGGCCAGGGCGGGGCCCAAAAGGGAAAATTAACCAATATTTCAAAAATCTTCTTCTCCAGACTCAGAGGTATTACAGTCATTTTCTCTGCATGGATGGAAAGATCATCAGGGGCTTTATTTAAATTGTAAATTTCAGGACCCCCAAACTATCCGTTCTCCCTTGGGGAGGGGGTAAAGTTTACTATAGTTTATATAGGGAAACAATACTTTTGGTTATATTTTGACAATTTTCTGTTGGAAATTATTCTTACTTCGTGAGAATTCTCCCTGAAGGAAGATGGTTTTAAATTGTAAAATTGGGATTCCTACCCCAACCCTAGGGGCCAGGGCGGGGCCCCAAAGGGAAATTTAAACAATTTTTCAAAAATCTTTTTCCCCAGACTCAGAGTCCTATACTTGTCATTTTCTCTGCATGGATGGAAAGATCACCAGGGGCTTTATTTAAATTGCTAATTTCAGGACCCCCGAGCTATCTTTTCCCTTGGAGAGGGGGTAAAGTTTACTATAGTTTATATAGGTAAACAACACTTTTGGGTATATTTTGACAATTTTCTGTTGGAAATTATTTACTTGGTCAGAATAATCTTTGGTGGATGACGGTATCAAATTGTAAACTTGGAATTCCTGCCCCATCCCCAGGGGTTAGAGCGGGGCCCCAAAGGGAACATTTACAAATATTTTCAAATTCTTATCCTTTGATGACATGACAAGTATTGTATTTCACTTAGTTTACATGCTGATTTCCACATCACATCTAAACAATAAAATAAAGCTACCAGTACCTATGATATAACTCAGGTGACCGGTAAGGCCCTTGGGCCTCTTGTTTATCATGTTATCTTAAGTCCCAGGGACTATCCCCTACTTGATGTTTCGTGCTGTAGATGGCGATGTTTACTTAGTTATCAGGCAATCTTTGACAAAGGACTAGTAAATAATCTATTCAACTAGTCCTGTGGACGACCAATCCACAGTTAGTGTCTAACCCTGTTTGCCCCGCTGAAATTCCAAACAGATGGCCGATTTTAATTCCCAAATTTCGTAAAGCAAATATAAAATTATATTACTGGATTTAATTTCAATTTGATTGATCATTAGTCGACAATCAGTCACTTGATTGGAAGTGATGATCGAGTATGATTTTACAAGTAATTCCAAACACTTATATATATCACTGAAACTTCACTGTTGCTCATATCTGGTATTGGTTACCTATATTTTACAACTAGGAAAAATGGCCTTGGCTTTTAATAGAATATTAAACAGAATAAAACCAAACCTACAGCGTTATAAGATAATGCATTTCTATTGATATTTACTTATAATATACCATGAATAGGCTAGCTCTGATGTTCTGGAGTCTTTTTTTGTCTTGCTGCCACAAAGTAGCAGAAGCAAGCCGTATGTGTTGCTTTTTCGGCGATGACGGCAGCGTCAACATAAAGTTTTTGGGTTTTAGTTAGTTTCACTGAAACCAAAGTTGACATGGGTATTGATGGTCTCATATGTGAGACATATCTGTCTGAATGGCTTGTTTATTGATCTTAATATTTTTTCCTCTCACTTTTGTAGGTCAGATCACCCTTTTCTACGCCATCTACTATGCATGTCTGTCTGGGTTCTTTATTGCCTTGATCGCTGTGTTCTATCAGACCCTGGACTGGAACTTCCCCAAGCTATCCGGTCCCGATAGCTTGTTGAGACAGAACCCAGGTATTTCAAATTTCTACTTTTCATTTTACTACAATGAGTTTAGAAAATATTGTGAATATAGACTGGAGTATTTTTAAGAAATGTATTGAAGTATAGAAAGTTGCATAAAAGTGCTGGTTTGATATGATTTTTCAAAGTTTAAAGGTCCATCAGCAGAACAAAGGCAAAAAATGTATAGGCTTTCAATTTGTTAAGAAATGTATAAACATTTAGTTTAGAAAATTGCATAACAATGCTCTGGTAACCTCAGTTTGTATCAAACAGTACATGAGACAACATTAACCCATGACAGTATATTTTTTGTTCCAATAAATGAATTTGTCTCTTTGTTTTAAATGACAGTTCTATTTAACATAAAAGTTTTGACTCTGAAAAAGTCAGGAAAAAATCTTCTTGGCTTCTGAAATTGTTAAATGTTAGTGATTTTTTTTGTCACTGAAAGGAAAAGTGGTGGAAAAGTAAATTAGATTTTCTTGTCCTTTTTGTTTGCAGGTATGGGATTCCGTCCAATTCCTGATGTAACAACGACACTTGTACGATTTGTGAAAGGTGACCCGACCTCTTACAGTCCGTATACTGACCACATGGAGGCCTACCTCTCCTGTACGTATGCAAAGTTTCTGATGTCTTACCGTCACATTAGAGGGGTATGAACATATATGAGAGCTGTTCTTCTCGTATCGTCTTGTTTTCATTGTTGATCATAATTTAAATTAAAAAAAATAATCATGTTTTAATTGTGTTAAATGTTTTATATAGATATGCCCCAACTTCTGTTTTCAGGAAGGACAAAGAAACATAACTTGATAATTTGTGTTTACATTCAAACATGAAAATCTTCAATGTGTTAAAATATTTTGACAAGTTTTCTTATGGTCTTTAAAAAATTAAAAGAAAGATTGATTTATCATTAATGATCAGAATATGACTAAATTATCTGGGTTTATTTCACAGACTATGAGAATGAGAACCAAGTGACTGACACCGGAGTGATTGTGGATTGTGATGCCATCAATGGCCGTCGTCCCGAGTCGGAGTGGGACAAGGCCTGCCGATTTGATCTCACCCAAAATCTCGGAGCTGACTGTGTCAAGCAACAAGCCTTTGGGTTTGATGACGGATTGCCTTGTATTCTTGTCAAACTCAATAGGGTATGTATTGACCAAGAAAAGGAATTTAAGAATTGTTACTTTTGGGTTTAAGTTCCTCGCTAAGTTGCCAAGGGGATAATGCCAAACAGAAGGACCAGAAGTAAGAGAAAAATGTTTCTCAATAACGGGAGATCAACGCCAGATAACATAAGTCTAAAGATGCAATGTGTGGATCAGAAATTTCTGACAGTTTATTTGGAAGATTTCAACACTTTCATGAAATAAGACTTAAGGTTACAAATTGGAATAAGAATATATGCTCAAAAATGACCGAGGGGCAGGATATCGGGTGTTACAAAGTACAAACACTTCCAAACAAAACTTTTAGATGAATTTACCAACATTTTTTAAAACGATACTTAGATTAGAATTCATACTTGAGAAAGGATTTTTAAAAACTTTCCCCATGCTGGTAATGAGGGTTGGGGACATAAGAGTGCTATTGGATATACTATTTGACTGTTAAAGCTTGTGGACCTCTTAAATTAAAAAAAGAAATTAAGTAACAAAACAAAGTATTGATTGTAAAGTTGACCCTTTTACAGTTAGCTTGTGTTTCACCTTACAACAAATTAATGGTGTACAATTTTTGTGAGTTTTTCTGATTTATTTTCAGATCTTTGACTGGATGCCCCAGATGTATGTGAACGGAAGTGGTAGCGGTATTCCATCAGAAATTGCTGACATGTACCAGAACTACTATGTCACAGTCAAGTGTACAGGAGAGGTTTGTTATTTATCCAAATCACTATTTATGCTGTTGATAAGCCTTTACTATAGATATAAAATTAATGCAGAAGGATAACCACAACCTGAATTTGGAAGTTGAAAATTTCACCAGCTAGTCTGTTGATGAGGCCTTAGTAGTTGCCCTAACACCAGAATTAAATCATATGGAATAACTGCCAATTATAGTTGCATTTAATGATGGCCTAGTTTCAATAACTCGTTAGTGATGAAATAAAGATGAGATTTTATACATTGCTGGAATTTACTGGTCAAAGGGCATGCATGAAAATTTGAGAAATAGCATGGAGGCAGATTTTGAAAAAAAAACCGCTACAATCTCCATCTATAGTCACATTGTCAATACTGATAAAGTTTATCGGCCTTGTTGCAAAATTTACTAGTACCAGAAGTTGGGTTAAAGAAATGATACACCCCTGCTTCCTGTGGTTGTTAATATGTTAAATATTTGGGTACATTGAATGAAAATATGTGCAAGATTTCGTGAGAAATTTCATTAAAATACATCTATTTCACATTTTAATATGGAGATGTATATAAATAGTATAGAAAAAGGTGATGGAGATATTTAATGTTAAACCATTTGGCCCATTTTGTGTCTGCAGAATCCAGCTGACCAGGATAACATTGGACCCATCACTTACTACCCGGCTGGTGGTTTCCACTACAAGTACTTCCCATTCCGCAACCAGCAGGGCTACCGGTCTCCCCTAGTCTTTGTCAGGTTTGAGCGCCCAACCCCCGGAGTTCTCATCATGGTGGAGTGCAGAGCCTATGCTGCCAACATTCAGTATGACCGTCTGGAACATGCCGGCAGTGTGCATTTTGAGCTGATGGTTGATTAACCTTGCATATTTAGCTAGTTCTTTTATGAAAATTACGTTTTTTGGGGGATGGAATTATAGGAGAAAAACATTTTGTTAAATATCTTTCTGAGGGAGGGGAAAGGCTCAGCTATTTGAAATTATATTTAGATAAATGAAACCAAATTTCTGTTGGGGGAAAAAAATGTGAATAGCAAATCAAAAATGTTTTAAAAAAATGTAGCAAATACATAAACCTGTACAGATTTGCTTTTTGTCAGAATCTTTCTTTTGTTTTATATGTCAAGTTTATGTCTGCTATGACCCAAAGAAATAAATAAATTCCATGGAATCGGGTATCTTCTACAAAAAGGCATCTAACAAAGTAAGCAGTAGGTTAGTGACCAGGTGCCTGGATATTCTGACACTTAGGATCAAGATCTGAAGTTTGGTTAGCCTTTTCTTGCAAATTTTGAGCAAGATGGTTTGAAGAAAGTGTATTTGATTTTTTAACTGATTATTTTTTCTGGTTGTCGAAGCATTTTGTCATTTATTTCTCAGCTTTCCAAAGATTTTTTTTTTACTTTTCCATACTTTTCCTCATTTTTTCTGTATCTAGCATTTCATATGTAGTTGTTTGTAAATGAAACAAAAGAAAAGGAGATGGTGGATTTAACCTTGATTGATGTTCTTGATAAACAAACAGGAAAAAAACCCACAAAAAAATGTAACCAGCCATTGAGTAATACTCAGGGGTGACTTTGGAAAAACATGTCATTTCATCAGGATGGAATGGAAGGTGCAATATGTGATACAATACTATAACGCTTCAGAAATATTTAATGGGGGGTTTCATAATCAGATATGTAAGATCTATTGCGAATTAAGCTCAAAACAGACTACTCCATTTAAGCAAATCAGAATTTGTTCACAGACGCCGTTTTGTTACAAAGATCACTTATGCAATTTCAAGTGGGAAGTCACTTTGTTTTGTTTTGTACATTCCTTTTAAAAAACCTGTTTTTTAACAGTTATATCTATCCAGATTTGTGTACAGAACTAGTGATGTAGTATGTTGATGTTGCCATTGTGAAAATGATGTGTCCAGATGTTTTTGTATACGATGAAAAGACGTTTTTAAATCTTAAATATTGTTGTTATAGATACAATGTATTGTTGCTTTGTGTGTAGTGTACATGAAATTTTATTACAAAATGTTTTTACCAATACACAAGGAGGCTATATCCTGTTCCGAAGTTGTTGATTTCCAAGGACCATCTTCATTTGCTTTGGAACCCTCTAGACGCAACTTTTATTTTTGAAACTTTGACGGTTTTTAAACTGTATGATGTTCATTTGTTATTTCCTGAGAGAGATAAGTGCCATCTATATTAAAATGACCAAACGATTTGTAATACCTACAAAATAATTAACGAAACACTGTAGGCATAAAAACCATTGTTCATTACTGTGCAGCTTTCGCTTATATATAGTGATACTACAAGCATGATTGTGATGCAGAAGAGGAATCATGAGTGATGAATATGAAATGTTGTTTTTAAACGTAATAATTCAACGGTGACCTTCTTTTTGTAAATACGTGAATGCATGACAGTATGTGAATGCATTAATATTAGAATGTAGGTTACTTATTCGACTTTTTCTCAACCATTCTACTTGTACCAAATGCTTTTAATGTAAATTCAGCATAATTATTATACATAGCAATACTGCACGGATGTAAGCGGGTAAAACTGGAACCAAAACAAAATTCCTTGTCATCTCGCCCTGTGGCAAACGTTCACTTTCTCTACTGATGAACTTCGCGTTTGAGTGTAACTATTATTTACTTCTGGAAGCGCTGTGCGATGAAAGAACGGTTTTGTGTTGCTTCCAGTTTCTTAGAAGAAGAAAAGTTTCTCACTGTTAGGAATGTTTTGAATATGAGTGAATTGTGAGCATGTGGACTTTCAGTGACTGCTATGCCACAGGCTTCAGGTAAATTGTAAAAACATCAGTGGGAAAGTTTTTTATTGACATCTCTTACACCCAAACCCATTTCCATTGTTTATACATATCATTTATCATTACGTCACTAAATCTAATATACTACACAGGTGAATGCTCTGAAACCTAAGTTCCTATGTATTCATGGAAATGGTTGTGGAAACAAATCGTGTATTCTAACAAATTAAACACATTTTGAATTCTTACTCTTGTTAAAATAAAAATGAAATGATTTTAAAGTTGGAAACTGGATGTAATAAAAAAATTGTTGAAAACATTTGTAATTAAAATTTTGGTCCTGTTTCCTGACACCAGTTTTCAACCCTGTTGACTTGCTGGCATTTCTACTTTTAATCAAGATGTAGCACTGAAGAAGTTCATAGAAATAAACTTTATTTGGTACATGAAATTTCGTTTGTTTTGATTTTTTAAAGGATCCCTTACCACTGCCAATAAATGTAACAAAGTATTAGAAACTAATATGACTGAAACCTTAATAAATCATTTCTGAAATGAAACCCAAACCTTGGGGGACTTTAATGGATAATAATAAAGATGAAATAAACAAGACATTATCAACAAGAGTGTACTAAGTGTTGGACTGGGATTCAAACCTTCAAAACTTCAGATTTTTGGATGCTGTGTACAGCATTCATAGCGGTCCTCGCCAAGCCTGTGTTGACTATTTCACGGTATGATTAATGCTATAAAATGATGAAATACATATAAAAACGATCAATAAATGTAAGATTTTTTTTGATTTTTTTTATGAAAATCCGAGTTTTTTCAGTGAGCATCGTGAACTATATCAATCTCCGATTACTATTCTTTTTTGACCGAATAATTTCGTCACAAAAAAAACTAACAACACTTGATCCTCCTTCCGCGAAAGATAAGATCTCTAACAGTGGCGTTTTTAATCGGTGAAAGTTCCGAACTATATTTGGTTCAAATTACTACTACTCCCGTTTCCAATACTCTAAAGTGTGTGTAAGAGTTTTCTCCCCTTGTCCATCATTGCGTAGTTTCATGCTCGCGACTTGTTGAACGACTGTTTGATATCTGTCCTTGATACAAAAGGCTTCGTGTTTTCTTTGTCTCAATGGAAAGTCTCCCAAGTGAAAGAGAATGTTGACTTATACTAAAGTAGCCGTCAGCAGCTGTGCCTAACAAGTTTATAGATAGCTTCCCAATGCGACAGCTGTGCCTAACGAGTTTGTAGATAGCTTCCCAGTACAATCTCTAGATAATGGCCCGATTAGTATAATACAAGTGCTTCTTGAATATAGCATATTGAACATCAAAAATTGAAACCATATATACATATTATTCACATAAACCAGATTCTGAATAATTATATAGGTCTTTAGCCTAACAATATCGGGATAAGTCTGTGATTACACGCACTGGAAATAATACAATCTCGTATAATTAATCATGATAATAACAAATTGTAATAATAATATCATACTTATTGATAAATATTATCTTTATAAACTTTTTTTTTTTATTTAATCGTAAACTTTCCCATAATCTTACGGGACAAATTTGTCTGGTCAAGGTCACTGTTATAATTTTTTAAAAGATCATTGTGTGCGCTTTAGCAGCTTCATTCCTTGAAGGATTTCCATCGATTTGAAACACTGATTAAGGACCAAATATCAGACAAGTTTCAATTGACTTAGCAATACTCTGCTCGTTATATATATTTTTATCGAAAATAAGGATTAAGGGATGGGCTATTATGACCCTTACTCAACAACATGTTCTTTATTATTTACTGCCACTCTGTACTGATATACCACCTCCTTCATTCCATTATTTGAATCCTTCATACACAGCATCCCTGAGTGCTCTCGGCACTTAGATTATTATACTGTAATCAATTGAGCTACCTTGTCAATGGAAGTGTGCTAGCCTAATTGTGCTACAGTTATATCCAAAAGCAAGTCAAGGGGAGGTTACTGTGTACGGGAAAAACGGTTCTTGACAAACATTCTTTATTTCCTCTTTTACAAGAGATTAAAGTCAATCAATGCATACATATATGTTCACATTTCACATTACATAAAGATAGCATTCATCAATAGAAAAAGGAAGAGAGTTACAATAATGTGTCAATCTCGCACACCATTCTTTCTAGATTAATTGACATATTGATCATCAGATTTTCCCACTAGTAGTCGTCTAGTAGTATATTCACACGATCTTCTCATAAGAAACTGCATTGGTTTTCATCCTCTTAAGTTTGCGAATGCGGGGACTAATGAAGCATTCACCACACCATCCATCATTAAGTCACACGTTTTAAGCAATTCGGGACACTCGAACAGAAAATGAAAAACAACATCAGCAGTAGATTTACCACAAATTTTACATAATGCAATATAGCATTCAAATATAAATGAATATTGCATTAGCTCTTTAAACTGACACTTATGCGATTTTTGCTTGGTACTCCGTTCTTATATAGGCCTGATTCCCCGATAACTGTGTATGGCAGAATAACGAAGCAATTCCGCTTTTGTAGACAGTGCATCTCTCCACTGTATGTGATAGAAATCTGTAATAAATCTTTCAATAAAATGTTTCCAGCATGATTTTGGAGGTACAAATATGTTGGTTAAAAAGTCAATTAAAAATGATTCTATATTCAACTTTTTCATGATGCTGAACACATCTGGAATAAATCCTATTTGTACAGCGGACAGTTCGCCAAACATGAAATGACATAATCTAATAATAAACAAGGACTTCCATACAAACTTTACATTTCCTAAATACAACTTATTCCAAAATAGCAGTTTTTTAAATTTCTACCTTACTCCAGATATTAAAAACTTCTAAACATTGTGAGATTACAACAGTTGATGACGTTTTCCAATACAACGCCTTCAGACATATCTATGAGTGAGTTCTAATTCTTCAACAGATTTATTGGTTCCAAAGTTCGCCTCCATATAGCATACACCAATAAACAACAGATTTTACTATATTAAAACTAGTTACAGGATTAAGTCCATTAGCGTGAATGCCTATACCAATAAGAGAGTATAATCTTTTCCTTCCTTTCCCACAGGACTCGGTAATACCACTGTCTGATTTAAGGTTACATGTAGAGAGCTTTTACATCGTGACCAAAGTGATTTATTATAGAACTCAAATCTTTTTTCTGAGGTATGAATCTTGTGACCATTTTCCTATGCAAGGGAGATAACAATTTTCTGTATTCCTTTCAACTTCCTCAAGGGGCATAATGCAAACAGACTTAAATGTCTGGAGAATAGAGACCAATATAGGACAGAACGTTTGCATGATAAAATAAAAAGCATTTATAATTTGTTAAAAATACTGAAAAATGTGTCCAGTTTGGCAACACTTATTTATTTACATTCCTCTTTTGCTACATGCATCTTCTATTTGCCTCGACTGTTTTTCTTGGTATACCGTGCACCACTTGAACAGGAATTATACCAGGGTATAGAAATAATAAAATGATAGAAGATACTGGGTTTTAATGCCCTTTCAACAGCTGTGACCAAAAGGAATAGGGTCTACGCAGTAAAGATCCATAATGCAGAAGTTTAATTTTTGGTTCTTCATCATAATCTCTCATCACTGACTCAAAAAAATGTGCTCCCAACCATCATGACTTCAGTAACAGGTGCTCCCTACATAACTGGTTCAGTAACAGGTGCTCCCTACATAACTGGCTCAGTAACAGGTTCTCCATGTACATAACTGGCTCAGTAACAGGTGCTTCCTACATAACTGGCTCAGTAACAGGTGCTCCCTGTACATAACTGACTCAGTAACAGGTGCTCCATACATAACTGGCTCAGTAACAGGTGCTCCATGCACATAACTGGCTCAGTAACAGGTGCTTCCTACATAACTGGCTCAGTAACAGGTGCTCCCGGTGTATCACTGATTCAGTAACAGGTGCTCCCTACATAACTGATTCACTAACGGGTGCTCCCTACATAACTGGCTCAGTAACAGGTGCTCCATGTGCATAACTGATTCAGTAACAGGGGCTCCCTACATAACTGATTCAGTAACGGGTGCTCCCTACATAAATGGCTCAGTAGCAGGTGCTCCCTACATAACTGGCTCAGTAACAGGCGCTCCATGTACATAACTGGCTCAGTAACAGGTGCTTCCTACATAACTGGCTCAGTAACAGGTGCTCCCTGTACATAACTGACTCAGTAACAGGTGCTCCATACATAACTGGCTCAGTAACAGGTGCTCCATGCACATAACTGGCTCAGTAACAGGTGCTTCCTACATAACTGGCTCAGTAACAGGTGCTCCATGTGCATAACTGACTCAGTAACAGGTGCTCCCTACATCACTACATAACTGACTCAGTAACAGGTGCTCCATACATAACTGGCTCAGTAACAGGTGCTCCATGTGCATAACCGATTCAGTAACAGGTGCTCCCTACATAACTGATTCAGTAACAGGTGCTCCCTACCTAACTGACTCAGTAACGGGTGCTCCCTACATAACTGGCTCAGTAGCAGGTGCTCCCTACATAACTGGCTCAGTAACATGGGCTCCCTACATAACTGGCTCAGTAACAGGGGCTCCATGTACATAACTGACTCAGTAACAGGGGCTCCCTACATAACTGGCTCAGTAACAGGTGCTCCCTGTACATAACTGACTCAGTAACAGGTGCTCCATACATAACTGGCTCAGTAACAGGTGCTCCATGTGCATAACTGATTCAGTAACAGGGGCTCCCTACATAACTGATTCAGTAACGGGTGCTCCCTACATAACTGGCTCAGTAACAGGTTCTCCATGTACATAACTGGCTCCAATAACAGGTTCTCCATGTACATAACTGGCTCAGTAACAGGTTCTCCATGTACATAACTGGCTCCAATAACAGGTTCTCCATGTACATAACTGGCTCAGTAACAGGTGCTCCCTGTGCATAACTGATTCAGTAACAGGTGCTCCCTACCTAACTGACTCAGTAACGGGTGCTCCCTACATAACTGGCTCAGTAACAGGTGCTCCCTGTGCATAACTGATTCAGTAACAGGTGCTCCCTACCTAACTGACTCAGTAACGGGTGCTCCCTACATAACTGACTCAGTAACAGGTGCTTCCTACGTAACTGACTCAGTAACAGGTTCTCCATGTACATAACTGGCTCCAATAACAGGTTCTCCATGTACATAACTGGCTCAGTAACAGGTGCTCCCTACATAACTGGTTCAGTGACAGGTGCTCCCTACATAACTGGCTCAGTAACATGTGCTCCCTACATAACTGACTCAGTAACAGGTGCTTCCTACATAACTGACTCAGTAACAGGTGCTCCATACATAACTGGCTCAGTAACAGGTGCTCCATGCACATAACTGGCTCAGTAACAGGTGCTTCCTACATAACTGGCTCAGTAACAGGTGCTCCATGTGCATAACTGATTCAGTAACAGGTGCTCCCTACATAACTGATTCAGTAACGGGTGCTCCCTACATAACTGGCTCAGTAGCAGGTGCTCCCTACATAACTGACTCAGTAACAGGTGCTCCCTACGTAACTGGCTCAGTAACAGGTGCTCCCTTCATAACTGGCTCAGTAACAGGTGCTCCCTACATAACTGACTCCAGTAACAGGTGCTCCCTACATAACTGGCTCAGTAACAGGTTCTCCATGTACATAACTGGCTCCAATAACAGGTTCTCCATGTACATAACTGGCTCAGTAACAGGTGCTCCCTACATAACTGGCTCAGTAACAGGTGCTCCCTACATTACTGGCTCAATAACAGGTTCTCCATGTACATAACTGACTCAGTAATAGGTGCTCCCTACATAACTGACTCAGTAACAGGTGCTCCCTACATTACTGGCTCAGTAACAGGTTCTCCATGTACATAACTGACTCAGTAACAGGTGCTCCCTACATAACTGACTCAGTAACAGGTTTTCCATGTACATAACTGGCTCCAATAACAGGTGCTCCATGTACATAACTGACTCAGAAACAGGTGCTCCCTACATAACTGGCTCCAATAACGGGTTCTCCATGTACATAACTGACTCAGTAACAGGTGCTCCCTACATAACTGACTCAGTAACAGGTGCTCCCTACATCACTGACTCAGTAACAGGTGCTCCCTACATAACTGGCTCCAATAACAGGTTCTCCTAAATTGTGATGTGTATGGCGATTTTTTTGTTTTATAAACTCGATTCTAGTCCCGTTTTAGTACATTTCTCCATCTTGATTCAAAACAATATAACATCTGGTCAACAGATGAATTGTACTTAAAATTGAAGGACATCGATGTGTTCCGTCTACAGATAGACATATGTATATAGCTATTCTGAACCAAAAAACAAATCTGTATGTTCTCGATATACGTGCCTATCATGTGTACACCACTTGTGGTTTACAGATAAGATGCTTCCCGCACATAGCAAATAGTATACAAGGGCCAGTATACGGAAAAGCAATGTGTATGTTATATATACACATATTGTTCATACACACACGTGTGCGAATGTGCGCACTCAATGACGTGGCATTTGGTGTGGACGACTGGAAATTTTCCCAACTAAGCAAAACGTCAGGTTACGTTCTCGATCTGGCCCAGGACTTGTTTATCGGTTTTAAAGTCGCATATATCAAAGCTCGTTTGTAACTTCTAACTTTTATTTGTAACTGAACACAGATTTTATCATTGACAGAATTAGTTTCAGATTCGCTAGATGTAAGTGATGCATTTCGCATGCTTCAGCAGTCTGCGAGAGGTCAGTTGGTGGACTTCAAAGCTACCCAAATATATTTACAACCGACACGAAGTGTAATGAAGACATACAAGATAAACGTATGCATGTTCTATTTCTGAGATAGCAATACAGATATTCAAATCATACATAGGAATAAACACGCACTTGTAGTCATTGCTTGTTTCAAATGATTAAATTTGACCATAAGTGGGGACTAATTGGTGTATGTGTGTGTGTGTGTATGTGAGGAGGGGGG